GCGAGGATTAATGCAAGGGCTTCTTTTTCTATAGTACTGTAGTTTAGTTGATGTTTGAGGAACTTTTTAGAAAAGAAACTGATTGGATGATTCAAACCATCTTCTCCGGTCTGCAATAAAACAGCACCGACGCCTGTACCACTGGCATCAACTTCTAACAGAAACGGTTTTCCAAAATGAGGCGCAACCAGTACGGGGGCACTACAGAGCAGAGTTTTCAGAGCTTCAAAAGCAGAATGACATTCAGGAGTCCACTTAAAAGAAACAGCTTTACGGAGTAACCCCGTGAGAGGACTGGCAACAACAGAAAAATTTACACAAAAACAGCGATAATAACCGGTCATACCGAGAAATCGCCGAAGCTCTCTCCTAGTCTTTGGGACTGGAAAGTCAAGGATAGCTTGGATCTTAGAGTTCAGAGGACGAACTTGACCACCGACTTCTTTACCTAGATATGTGACCGAAAGACGTTTGAAGACTTCATCTATGGTTTTAAGATGATCTTCCCAAGTGTCAGCATAGCAGACAACATCATCTAAATAAACTTCACACATGGACACATTAGATAACACCATAGACATTAATCGTTGAAAGGTAGCTCCTGCATTTCGAAGGCCAAAAGGCATGACCCGATATTGTAGGAACACATCAGGGGTGGCAAAGGCAGAGATTTCAGATGCACGCTCTGTGAGCGGCACCTGCCAATAACCTTTTAGCAGGTCGAGTTTCGTCACAAATTTAGCACTCCCACACGGTCTACACAATCCTCCATGCGCGGCATTGGAAAGGAATCAGCTTTGGTTAATGCATTAACTTTTCTGTAATCTGTACAGAACCTGGAAGTACCATCTGGCTTAGGGACGAGAAGACATGGAGAACACCATGGACTAGAACTAGGGACTGCTAAGTTTTGTTCAAGTAGATACTGGGTTTCTTGCCTCATCAATTCTTTCTTGAGTGGATTTATGCGATAAGCCCGTTGTTTGACGGGTGCCTGTGAACCAACATCAATGTCGTGTGTTAGCACTTGTGTAGTGGTGGGGAAATCACTGAACAAAGCCGGATATCTCTTAATCACACTTTTGATAGCCTGGGCGGACATGGATAAGTGAGACAACTTTGCTGAAAGGTTTGACAGAGTTTCTGAATTGGACAAATGAGCAAAGGTAAATGTAGCACTATTCATCTTCAACCCATCCATTTCTGGTGAATATTCGGAGGGTGGTACAACTACTGGAGCAACAGTAAGAACAGGGGTCTTAATCTCAGAGTCAGAGCGTGCCACATATGCCTTCAGCATATTAATATGACAGACACGTGATTTTCGCCTACGATCGGGGGTGTAAACAATATAATCAGTGTCACTCAGTTTTTCTTTAATCTCATAGGGACCGGTGAATTTAGCTTGGAGCACTGAACCAGGCACAGGAAGTAAAATGAGAACTTTATCACCAATTTGGAATGAGCGCTGGAAAGCCTTTTGATCATACCGAGTCTTCATTTGGTCTTGCGCAGAATCAAGCGAGCGGTTTGCCAGTTTCCACAACTTATGCAGTCGGTCACAAAACGAACTAATATAATCTAAAACGTTCTTAGTGGGGGAAGGATGGTCAGATGAAATTATTTGCTCCTGCAAAATCTTCAATGGACCACGCACAGTATGCCCAAAGATCAACTCTGAAGGACTGAAACCGAGGGAAGCTTGAGTCGTAGTACGAACGGCAAATAACAACAGTGGGATTTCCTCATCCCACTCTTTTTGTTGTTCAACACAAAAGGTTCAGAGCATGGATTTGAGAGTTTGATGAAACCGTTCGATGGCACCTTGGGACTGAGGGTGATACGCACTAGATACCTGATGTTTGATGTTTAATTTTTTTATTACTTTGGCGAACACTTTAGACATGAAATTAGTTCCTTGATCCGACTGAATATATTTAGGCACTCCAAAAGTAGTGCAGAATTTGACGATCGCTTTAACAATTGTATGAGCTTTAAGTGAACGTAGAGGAACCGCTTCAGGATACCTGGTCGATGCACACATCAGCGTTAACAAATAGGAATTTCCGGATTTAGTTTTGGGCAATGGCCCAACACAATCAATCAAAATGCACTCAAATGGTTCACCAATTACTGGTATCGGCTTCAATGGGGCCGGGGGAATAACCTGATTGGGCTTGCCAGATAACTGACATGCATGACAAGACTTACAGAATTTGGAAACGTCAGATTTCATCGAAGGCCAGAAGAAATGTTTCAACAAACTATCATAAGTTTTTCGAACACCTACATGACCAGAAAGTTCATGGTCATGTGCTACACTCAACACTTGCTCTCGAAAGGGTTTTGGAATGACAACTTGAAAAACGGTACCCCAATCATCGGTGGCATGACGTGGAGACCACTTACGCACAAGGACACCACCATCAAAGAAATAGGCGACTGGATACTCTGGCAAAACGTTTGGCTCGACAGCAGCTGCAACACAGGAACACAGAGTTTGATCAGCATGTTGTGCCTCAATTAACATGGTTTTTCCAAATGGCAAATCAACACTAGGAAGTGCACAGATTTTTACTTCAACTGAATCAACTTTTTCCTCTGTCTCAGCAGAATTGTCATCACACAAAAAGGTTTTTGACAGATCTACAGTGTCTTTTAGTTTTTGAGCTTGAGCTCGGGTCACCACACATGTGCTAAATACATTAGGAAACTCTTCCTGCAAAGCATCTTCATCATGTATCTCAGGAACATCTATAACCTCAGGTAAACAAAAAAACGTTGTTACCTGCCAAGTCATTTCCTAGTATGAGCGCTACACCTTTAACTGGTAACTCAGCCCGAACGGCCAATTTAACTTTACCGGAAATAATTCCAGAACGCAAACAGACATTGTGTAAAGGAACTTTAACTACAGAAAGATCAATGTCTTGCACTAGTACGCTGGAACCACAGCTTGACTGTTCCGAAAATGGCAGCACACCCTCTAAGATTATGGACTGAGAGGCGCCAGTATCACGAAGGATGCGAACACTTTTTGTTTCAGAGTCTGCTTCACTAAAAGACACAACACCGTCAAAAATAAATGGCTTAAATGCAGATTCCGCTGTTGTATGCAGAACTGCCAGCTCGGGAGAGAAAATGGGACGCTCAAATAATGCAACGCTTTTATAAGCGTTTGTTTTCTTGCCAGCTTTGCGTTTCAGAGCGGGACAGGTAGCGATGAGGTGTCCCACCTCATGACAGTAAAAACATTGACGATTCTCCACATTTAAAGCATTTGAAGCGTTCTTAGGTACTGTCTGGGAATCTTTAGAATTACGGACACGATCAGAAATACTACGCTTGGTGGGCGATGAAAACACTACTTTATGAGTAAGCACAAACTCTTCCGCAAAAACAGCGGCTTCAGAAAGGGAAGACACTTTCTGTTCATTCAAGTAGATCACGATTTTCTCAGGCAGACAATTCTTAAACTCTTCCAACAACATTAACTCTTTTAACTGCTCGAACGTGCCAACTTTATTTGCAGTGCACCACTTCTCAAACAAATTGGCTTTGTCTCTAGCGAATTCAATGAATGTTTGACTAGGGGTTTTCACATGATTTCGGAATTTCTGTCGGTATGCCTCGGGAACCAACTCGTAAGCACGCAGTACGGCCTTTTTCATTACCCCATAATCCAGGCTCTGTTCAAGCGTTAAAGCGGAACAGACTTCCTACGCTTTCCCGACGAGTTTACATTGTAACAGGAGCGACCAAATACTCTGCGGCCATTTCAAAGTGGCTGCGATGCGTTCAAATACAGTAAAATACGTATCGACTTCACTCTCATGAAACAGTGGAACTAATGCAATTTGTCTACTGATATCAAATTCAGGTTCACTTACTTGAAAAGCACGTCGCGGTGCAGGAATAGGGCACGGAGTGGAAGCACTTACGGGTGGTGATACAGGCACAATCACGCTGGGCGCATCAGCAGCTGAGGGGTGAACAGGTTGCTTAGTTTTTAGCTCCAGGTTCAGCTCCTTGAGCCTGATAGCTCGCTGGGTTTCAAGATCAACTGTGCGCACATACAACAGTTAGCTCTGATATTGCTGTTTGCTCAACTCCAACTCCAGCTCTTTCAATCTGATCGCCAGCAAAGGATTACTAGGAGAAGGAAGGTTAGCGGGATCTATGCTAGTCAACTCCGCGGGTTTGGGTTCTGTCCCCTCCTCTACAGAAGCCAACACTTGAGCTGCAACACCCGCCTCCCCCTCACCTTCTTCAGACAAAACCCGACGTTCAACCAAATGCTTGTAAATCACTTCCTTAATGTCCTGTTTCCTAGCACCACGAGTAACCTGTATTTGATACAAATCCACGATCGTTAACAAATCATCTTTGCGGCAAATATCCAACTGATGTACTGAAGGTTCGATCGCAAACTTATCTAATTCAAATTTTGAAGCCATTCCTAATTCCCTCCGCCTTAAAATGAAAACCACCAGGCAAACGAACAAACACAAAGCCAATTTCATGAGTTTTTTTTTTTTTAGGACGAGCCCCCAATTTCTGTTACGACCTCTAGGGGTAAGCCGTAACAGAAAAAGGATTTGAATTCACCCCAGAGAGATGCCAAATAAACAATTTTATTTGCTTTAAACGGGAGTATCTTCAGGGGCAGACAAGGCCAAAACAATAAACAAAACAGACTTTTCTTTGACAACTAAATAACCTCAAATGGAAATAAAAACAAAATACAGACCAACTTCCCTACCTCCCTCAACCAAAAACAAAGTGAAAAAAACCTTGTGGAAAATGGGCATCATATGACCCCTTTAATCTTCATTATACAATGTTGGTAAAAGCACTAATATTGTACTGTATTGGTGAAGGCACTAAATTGCATACTCCATCTACTGGACATATGTGAGCTATACAAGACAAATAATAGCAGGGCAATGTATTATAAAATAAAATTAATATATATATATATATATATATATATAGGCCGTCAGATAAAACCATCAGTGAATTTCAAAATTCAGTCAAACTTTTGACAAAAGGGTTTTGGTTGAGATTGTGTACATTTTGAGATGATTTGTCCAAAAAAGATGATCCAATATCTCATAATTGAGACTGTACCTGTCTGTCTCTCAAATGTGCTGACATCATATCCTGCTCTTGTGATTAGCATAGCTAGGGAAGCCAAACTGGGAGATCATGATATTGGACTAGCGGAGCGGCATGTTCCCATAGATGTGTGTCAGCTTGTTGAGGCAGTAGGAGCGCTGCAGCATGTGCTCCGCTCTGTGCCACATGCCCACATACCCGCTGCTGGCTTCCTTCTCCAGATTCCGCATGTCTACGGGCTTCACGAACACCCCGGAGGCCCGCTTGAGTCCGGACACCTGTGAGAGTTGACGTGCCACGGCAAAGTTCATGGCGATGTCGTCACAGTTCTGCGTTTGGTCCACCAGTGTGTACTTCACCCGGCTGCTCTTGGAACAGCTGCAGGAAGCGCCGATGGAAGAACGCTGCACCCACCAGGATCATTGAATACCTAAAGGAACCATAAAATGACATTTATTCTGCTGTACTGCAAAGCTGCACATTTAACATTCATAATATGATATATGGGTCAATAACGCAAGACTGTCCACAATGAAAGGAAAATGTAGAAATAAAAAATTATTAAAATAATATTAATAT